TTTTTTTTTTTTTTAATGATCCACTGCGTCTGAATATGAATTTCCCTCCGGCAGTGGGGGTTAGCGGGGGAAGATGGGGGTCAGGGGGAGACCTAGAAGTGATTTTTAGGAGAGGCTGCTAACGTTTGGCGGAGCGCATTTTTCACATTACTTGGCAGGCTACTCTAGCCTCAGCTCAGGACTCTGTAATTAGCATCTAATTAATCACGCTGGCAGCCTGATGCAGGTTTCTCTGTAGATTCCAGGTTTGTGACTGTACAACGAGGTACATGCATACATTGTAGGTACATACGTACCTACAAGAGGTACGTACATTCCAGCAGGATTCCCGCCATCTTGCTTTCTGGAGCCGTCCAGAATGATCCAAAATGCAAAACGAGGCACGCTGAAGTGCCTGTTAGCCGGCGCCCAAGAGAACATCTTTTGAGAAGGACAATGAAAACAGCCAGAGTTTGAGATTTCAATCTTGCCCTGAAGTTTTGCGTTCTTCACCTTTCTTGGCTTCTGGCATCCTACGAACAACCCTGCGAGATAGGCTGGGCAGAGAGGGAGAGGGAGGGAGGGAGGGAGAGGAAAGAAGAGAGAGGGAGGGGAGAAGGAAGGAGGGAGAAGGGAGAGGGGGGAAGTTGGAAAGAGGGAGGGAGAGATGGAGAGAGACTGAGAAAGAGAGAAGGAGGGAGAGGAAAGAGAAGGAAAGAGAGAGAAGAGATGGAGAGGGGGAAAAGAGGGAGAGTGCAGAAGGGAGGGAGAGGGATGGGGAGGAAGGAGAAGGAAAGAGAGAGAGGGAGAGGAGAGAGGGACAAGAGATGGAGAGAGACAGAGAAAGAGAGCAGGAGAGAGGGAGAGGAAAGAGAAGGAGAGAGAGGAGAATATTGTGGCTGAGTTGTGGGATGTGTGTATGCCTTGAGATCTGAGTTTTGGGCCTCAAAATATAGATAGCAAATTTGGGGTTTGGACCCCCGTTGTCTTGCCTGGGCTGATGGTGTCGCGTGGAGTATCACAACCCCCCCAAAAGACCATGTGAAACCCCTTCCTTAGGGCTGCTCACCGGGGACGCTGGGATTTGAAACCCAACACGGATTGATTTCGATTGATTTATCCCACTTCAAAATGCCGGGAAAGCACCAACTCGCTAACTAACTCCAGTTAAAGATCTGAGAAGATAGGTAGATCGACCTCTGTCTCTCCGCACCACCACCCCCAACCAAAATTTTGGGGAAAGCTAGGACGTAGGATGGAATACAGGTAGTCCTCAACTTACAACGGTTCATTTAGTGACCATTCAAAGTTACAACGGCGCTGGAAAAAGCAACCGGTCACCGTTTCTCACACGACCGTTGCAGCATTCCCGTGATCAAAATTCAGGCATCTGGCAACTGGCAGGACCAGGTTGTCCTCGACTTATGACCACAATGGTGCCCCAAATTTATGATGTTAAGTGAGACATTGGTTAGGCGAGTTTTGCCCCATTTTTAACGACCTTTCTTGCCGCAATTGTTAAGCGAATTATTGAAGTGGTTAAGTTATCAACATGGTCGTTAAGCGAATCTGGCTTCCCCCATTGATTTGGCTTGTCAGAAGGTCACAAAAGGGGATCACGTGACCCCCCCAGGACATTGCAATCCGTCATAAATATGAGTCGTTGGCCAAACGTTTGAATTCTCATCACGGGACCACAGGGAATGTTGCAAACGGTCATAAGTCACATTTTTCAGTGCTGTTATAACTTCAAACGGTCGTTAAACGGTTTGTGTTTATGACGCATGGCCCTGCCGGGTCACAACCTTTTGTGACCTTCCGACAAGCGAAGTCAATGGGGATTAACAGAGTTGGAGGGGACCCTGTAGGTCATCTAGTCCAACCCCGCACCCAAGCAGACTCGCTCAAAAACCGTGTAACTAGCTTAACAACTGCAGTGGTTCGCTTAACAACTATGGCCAGAAAGGCCGTAAAACGGGGCAAAACTCACTTAAAACAACTGTTTTGCTTAGCAAAGGGATGTTTGGGTGCCAATTGTGGTCTGAAGTTGAAGATTACCCGAAAAACGACGGCTGTGATTATGATCTGCACGACGAGCAAAAACAGTTCTTCTGAGAATGTGCAGAGCGGTGCACTCACAGAGATTATTATTATTATTATTTAACAGTTTCTACTATTAATCATCCCAGATAACATGTTTTGATGGAAAGCTGGTATCCCTTCAGTTCTTTTGCTTGGAATGCGGTACAATTTATATTTGATGGTTTTTTGGTTTTGGCACCAAACGTCACCTCTTCCTTTTAATTAAAAAAGCGAACTTAAAAGGAAAAATAAATCTGCTGACAAATTTGACAAGCCTCTCTCTCTCTCTCTCTCTCTCTCTCCTTCGGGCTCCTCCGTTTTGAATTTGAAAGCGAAACGTGAAATTAATGTTGGGTGAAGAATGCCGTTGCATGGCGCGAGCCGAGTTTTTATTTCGGGATTGGAAAAACCAGCAGAAACTTCTTCTGATAAAGCACATAATAGACTTTTTAACGAGAAGACCGTATAGGACTGTGATGGTGAATCTTTGGCAGGGGTGGCATGGAGAGCCCTCCCTCTAGGCACATGTGCCATTGCCAGCTGGTCTTCGGGGGCACCAGAGCACCAAAAAAACACCCAAAAAACAAGCCATTTTTCGGGCCTTTTTCCAGCCGTTTTCTGGGCCGTTTCCAGGTCCAGGTCCAAAAAATGGCCTGAAAATGGCCTGAAAAAAGCCAAAAGGAAGCTACTTTTGGGGCCTTTTTCAGGCATTTTACAGTCCATTTTTGGGCCTTTTTCAGGATGTTTTGGTCCAAAATATGACCTGAAAATGGGCCTGGAAAAAACGTGACTTCCAACCCACCGTCACAGCATCTCCACAACCACGTGATCAAAATTAAGACGTTTGGCCACCGGCTCGTACTTACGAAGGTCTCGCAGTGTCCCAGAGGCCACGCGATCCCCTTTTGTGACTGCCTGATCAGCCAAGTCCACAGGGAAGCTAGATTCACTTAACAACCTGTGGTTCACTTAACAACTGCAGGGATTCACTTAACGTGGCAAGGAGAGTCGGTAAAACGGGGTGAATTTCGCTTAGCAAACGTCTCAGCCACAGAGGTTTTGGGCTCCGTTATGTTTGTACGGTGAGGAATTTGCCCGTACTTATGTTGGTTGCAGTGTCCTGGCATCACGCGATCCCCTTTCTCACGAGCCCAGTCAACGGGGAAGCCGGATTCACTTAACGACCGTGTGACAACTGCAATGATTTGCGCAACAGTTGTGGCAAGAAAGGTCATAAAACGGGACAAACCTCACTTAACAACTTGGGATTCCATTTTGATCACTCAGTCGCAAAAGGGGATCACATGACACACACGCACGCACACACCGGAGACACGGCCACCGTTGTAAATATGGGTCAGCTGCCAAGCCTCTGAATTTTGACCACATTACCATGTGGATGCTACAACAGCCGTTAAGGGTGAAAAACGACCGCTTGGTCACCTTTTTCGGGGCCGTTGTAACTTAGAACGGTCACTAAATGGTTCATATTTATGACCGTCGCAGCATCCCGGGGTTATCCCCTTTTGCAACCTTCTGACAAGCGACGCCAATTTGGGAAGACAGATTCATTTAACGACTGTGTAACTAGCTTAAGAACTGCAGTGATCCACTTAACAACTGTGGCAAAAAAGGCTGTAAAATGGGGCCAAACTCCCTTAACAAAGGTCTCGCTTAGAAACAGACATTTTGCACGCCGATTGCGGCCCTAAGTTAGGTAAGATAACAAATAATCAGAGTTGGAAGGGACCTTGTAGGTCATCTAGTCCAACCCCCTGCCGAAGGCAGGAGACCCTACACCATTTCTGACAGGTGGGAGCCTCCAGGGATGAAGCTCCCACAACTTCAAAGATTACCCAAAGAACTCCAGCTGTGATTATGATCTGCTAAATGACCCGTTGTAAGTCCGAGGACTAGCTGTCCCTTCTGCTGAGCTGTCTCTTTTTCTTTATCTTACTTTCCGTCGTCCAACAGAGTCGGAAAGAATCTCTGTCATGTTCTTTGCATGCCTTTTAAGGGCCATTGCAACACACAGCCAGCAGCCTCCCCCTTACTCCACCTTTCTGGAGGCAGGTGATGGGCCCTTGAAAAGTGGCGCCAGCCCCGGAAACGCTTAATTAACTCGCTGGGTTGGGCCGCCGCTTTCCAATAACATCCCGGTCAACCGGTTCCAGGCTGTTTACTGCTATTGCAGCTGGCGTTGGGTCCTGATAGAGGGACGCCGAATGAAAGGAGGGGATAGGTTCTTTTTTTATTTTTTAAAAAATATTTTTTAGGGGGAGGAAAGGGGAGCGGAACCCCGGGCTCGTTTCCCAATGTTGCAAAGTCATTGAGGACTAGCATCCTGGCCAGCCTTGCGAAAGTGCCCTTTTGCTTGTTTTGAACCCGCCTCGTTTTCATCTCCAACCTGGGCTGGTTTTTCCAGGTAGCTGGAGGTGGGCCAGCTCTGAGAGGCGCCCATTGGGCTGTGTGGTGGGGGAAAAAAATAAAAGCCCTGAATGTGTTCCTAGAGTCTCTCGGTGGTGTTTCTTCTACCCAAGTGGACAAAAGCGACTTCCATTTTTCGGAGCGTTGAATAATTCTGCTCTGGTTAGATGTGATCTCCTGCGTGGAGAAGAACGGAGCAACACGGGGCCAGGAGGGGAGGTTTTTTAAAAGAAATTTAAAAAGGGGGATTTTGGAAAAAAGGTTGTGGAGAATGAGATCCGGTAGCATGGAGGGGTTGCATTCATTGTGGTTCAGGGTAGTGGTTGCCAACCGGTGGGCCGGTGACCCCTGATGGTCCGCAAGAAAATTGTGGTGGTCCGCAGAGAAATGTCACCTCCAAAGCAATTAATCCAGGTTGCATAGGAACACAAGGCTGTGGCGCCCACATAGTCCGTGGGAACACAAGGCTTGCGTCCCTTGCATTGCACGCAACACGAGGTAGGGAGGGGAGGAGGGAAAGGATGGAGGGGGGAACTTGCCTCACGCACCCCACGCGCCTGGCCTGGCCACAGGGCTGCTTCTTTCCGCTTCTTTCTTCTTCTGCAGGCAAGGAAAGCAGCCAAAGTCTTCCTTTCTCTCCCCCAAATTCCACCAGAAATGTGTCTTTGGGACCCTGCAAGGCCTCCTGCTCCAAGAGGCTGCGCCGGCAAAGACTCATTCCTGGCGGAGTTTGGGGGAGAGAAAGAAAGACTTCTGCTGCTTCTGCTGTTTTCCTTGCATGAAGCCAAAAGTCTCTCTCTCTCTCTCTCTCTTCCCCCGAGAATGGAGCTGGAGATGGAATCCTGCGATCCCAAATAAAGAACGATTGACCTGTCGGAAATCGGGGTGGGGAATTTTCCTGCAGACTTTTCGGGGGATTTTCCCAGGGTCTCTGGTCCGCGGGATTTAAACTGATGAGTTTGGTGGTTCCTGAGGTCCAAAAGGTTGGCGACCCCTGGAACCTCAGGACCTTGTGCGATGTCTTGGGCGGTCACAATAAGCCTGGTTTGCTAATGAGGGCATTTTAGACTCTTAGAAAGCTGGATAAAATTGAACCAAGGGCAAAAAGAAGTGGATTAAAGCAAATGGGAGCTTTGCTGGATGTTCAATTCACACAGTGATGTTACATCGTAGCTTAATCCTGGCTTAACATGATGCGTAAAAATAACCAGAACTGTCACCCTTGCGAAGATGCTGCAAATCTCTCTGGGGACTTACAAGCCACAAATGCTAGTTTGGCTTTTCCTACATTAGGCAAGAGGGTTACAGATAGTCCTCGACTTGTGACCACTTGTTTAGTGACTGTTCAAAGTTATGCCAGCCCGTTAAAAGTGTTTATGGGTAATCCTCGGCTTATGACGAAGCCAAAATTTCCATTGTTAGGGAATGCGGTTGTTAAAGTGAATTTCGCCCCATTTTAACCGCCTTTCTTGTTCAGGGAATCCTTGCAAAATGTAAAGTTAGTCACATGGTTGTTAAGCAAAGCTGGTTTTCCCCATTGACATGAAAGCCGCAAAAAGGGACGCTGTGGCCATCATAAATATGAATCCATTGACAAACTGTCTGAATTTTGATCACGCCGCAACAGTCGCCGGTGTGAAAAACGGTCATAAATCACTTTTTTCTGTGCCATTGTAGCTTTGAACTAAGGGAGTCTTTGTAAATCAAGGACAACCTGTAGTCTAATGGCCTCTAGGAACCCCATCTCTCTCTTTTTTCTTAAAAATATATATATTCCTTTTCTCTTCTACAGTCTCCCTGGGCGGATATGCGCTCTGGAAGGACCCGGAACCTTCGGTGGCCGAGCCGCCATCTTTCCCGATGCCACTGGACATGACCATCCGCAACTCGGTCTACACGGCGGCTCAGCCCCATGGCGCGGCCCACGTGTCCGGTGGGGCATGCCAGGAAAACGAGTCTGACTTCACGCACTCCAAAATCAAGGTAGGACTGACCAGTAGCTTTGCACCCCAGTTTATTACAGACTAGCTCGGGCTTTGCTACGAAACTATGTGGTCGGGCTTAGTTTTTTGGGAGGAAAATAATTGGGGATGCCTACCAGCATCCATTGGTATTCACCTGGCTAGAGTCCTGTCAGTGTGTGAGAGAGTTGAGGGCTGTTTGGAAACTGAAACAGTATTTGCTGTGTGAGCAAGGAGACAGCAAGGAGCCTGGGCATGGCTTAGCTCAACTGTTCTGTACTAAAGCTGCTTGGTGCTGTGAAATTAAAGCAGAAGCAGAAACTCTTCTCTGCTTGTGTTTTGCATTTGGAACAGGTTTCTTTTCAGGTGGGGAGGGGGAGTAGAACTCTTTAGCATCAGAGCATGTTAATAATAATAATAATAATAATAATAATAATAATAATAATAATATAGGAAATACTAATGCTCTGATGGTCATTTGGAAAAATCCTTTCTTAGTGAGCCCCTAGAAGCCAAGAAGAACATAATTTACGGTGCTGGAGATTTTGTGATGATGCCTGAGTGGCCTTTCGCTTTTATATATATATAGAGATCAAGGGTCTTCAAACTTGGCAACTTTAAAACTTGTGGACTTCAACTCCCAGAATTCCTGAGCTAACATGTCCGGAGGAGGAATTCTGGGAATTGAAGTCCACAAGTCTTCAAGCTGTCAAGTTTGAAGATCCCTGATAATCAATTAACGGAGCTGGAAGGGACTTTGAAGGGCATCTAGTCCAACCTCCTCCGCCCAAGCAGGAGACCCTTACACCATTTCCCGCAATTTATGACCGTTTCTCACGGGCCCCAGTGGGGTTCCCACAGGGAAGGAGAGATTGTACGCCTAAAAAGCAAATAACAATAATGAAGCGGTAAGGTGTGTGATTGTGTCGACACCGCTCCTAAGCTGTGCTTGATTACATCAGGGGCGGGGTACAGATAAAGGGAAGGAAGTTAGTCATATGGGGGGGGGGGTGGAAAGGCTTCGAGGACCTGGGATGCACCAGCCACAGTTGCGGGCGCGCTCACAAAATGGTAGCCCCGTGCAAAACATTGCTAGTTTCCTGGGCACTTTCATTTATTGGTTAAGAAATGTCCCAGATGGGAGGAGAGAGGCAGATTTTTCACCAAGAAGGTAATTTTTTCCTGCTTGGAAAAAATTACATTTCCCTTTGTTTTCTTTCTTTTATTTGTAATTAAAAGAGCAGAACGAAAGAAGGTCTGGAGGGAGCGAAGGAGCAGCAAACCCCAAATGAGGGTTTGTTGGGCTGGTTGGGGCTCGGTTGGGGCCCTGCGGGCAAGCCAAGGTGTGAGGAAACTGGGAGACTTACAAACCATGGATGTGAAGTTACGACAGCAGTGAAAAACACTGACTTAGAACTAGTCCTCACCCTTAGGACTGGTCACAAAAGGAGAATCACATGAGACCCTGCAACCGTCGTAAATAGGAGTCAGTCGTCAAGCGTCCAAATTTTAGTCACGCGGCCTGCTGGGAAAAACTGCAACGGCGGTAAGGGGTGAAAGGCGGTCGTAAGCCCCCTTTTTTCGGTGCCGTTAGAACTTTTGAACGGTCACTAAATGAACTGTTGTGAGTTGAGGACTTCTTTAGACATTTGATGGGATATTTCGCAACGGGGCGTTTTGATGTGCCCACGGCTTCAAAATGAGGGTTGGGAAAGGGACTCTCTCTTGAAAGTCCTACCCGTTGAAAATTGCCATCGGGGTTTGGAAGTGCCAAACCCGGTAGGGCAGTGCTCAAAAACTGTGGGCGATCATGAGGACTAGAATCTTAGCTTCGCTCTGACCAGCAAGGACCACATTTCGGGGAGGAGTGGCGGGCTAGGCTGATGGCAGAACATCAAACCAAAGTGGTTTTTTTTGTTTTTTGTTTTTTTACCTTTCCACAGGTGAGCCCGGCTGACGGTCCCCTTGAGCAGTTTTTATGCCCCTTTTGCCAAAAGGCCTTCTCCTACCAACGGATGCTCAACCGCCACCTCAAATGCCACAGCGAGATCAAACGGCACCTCTGTCCCTACTGCAACAAAGGGTTTAACGACACCTTTGACCTCAAGCGACACGTCCGGACGCACACAGGTGAGCTGGCGTGGGGTGGCAAGTGGCTGGTGCTGTCACCGATGCCCAGAATGGCTTTGGAGATCTAGCCGGGGATCATCATCATCTTTTAACAACCCCATAATCCTTTGCAGGGGTGGAGTCCGGGCAACTGAATGGAGCTAGCAGTGTTTTACTGACCGGATGCCTTTCCTGTTGCCAGTGCGGAGTTTAGTTCAGCAGATAAATTCTCAGAGTGCCCGGAGAGGATCGAACCTAGGATCGAACTCACCGCCTCCTGATTGTGAGGCCTGAGCTTCTCCTCACCATGAGATCTGGACAGGGATGATAGTCTGATTAAGAAAAGGGATCTATAACAGGGTCTTTCTTAGATGCAGATCTATGGATACGTGAGGGAGTGGAGACTGGCTAGCGGTGGCCTTCCCCAGTTCTCCTTAGCGTACAATGCCAAGACAATAGTTGCAAACACCAAGTTGTGGTCTCCCCTAGAAGATCCAAAAAGGAGAAACAGTGTTTGTGCCCGCACGATCAATCCTCCGTTCTGTAGGTAGTCCTTGACTTACGACTTTGAGCTCCGCATTTCTGTTGTTAAGCAAGACGGTTTCCTTGGGTGACAGATTTCTTGGGTGTCCGGTCACACTTAGCTAAAAAAGGAATTCCATTCTATTCTTTATATGCTGTTCTTGTTCTTGTTCTGTACCTGTTCCTTTCTGTTCTTGTTCTGTTTCTATTCTTTTTTTTAAATTTTAAGAAATACTTTATGAAGTACAAACGATCACCACACATTCTATAATAAGACAAAGCTTATTGCTCTCTAATACAGTTGATAGTGATTTAGATATCTCATAAAAGGTATTAAATGGCAATTACTTCTTGTCCCTTGTAAACTGTTATCTATATTGTAATAATACATAGTAGTCTATTATTATTATTGGATTATAACTGTGTTTTTATAGATGTCCTTTATGTAACTTAGTCAATGAGAAAGAGGAATAAAACTAGTATTTTATAAATTCCTATCTTTTAGCGTGTGTGTGTGTGTGTGTGTGTGTGTGTGTGTGTGTGTATAAAATATGTTTCATAGGTTCATTATTTTATGCATTTTTTTCCGGTCTATCCAATCGTACCATTTATCCCAAATCAAATAATATTCAGAGTCATCTTTTCCTTTTAATTTTAGTATATTCCTTTCCTTTCCTTTCCTTTCCTTTCCTTTCCTTTCCTTTCCTTTCCTTTCCTTTCCTTTCCTTTCCTTTCCTTTCCTTCCCTTTCCTTTCCTTCCATTCTTTGCCATTTGTTTCCATTTCTGTTAATTCTATTCCTGTTCTGTTCTGTTCTGTTCTACTCTGAACTCTGTCTACTCTACTCTACTCTTTCTTTGAACATGTTTCACTTCTACTCCAAGAAGCTTCTTCAGCTCTGGATGGTGGGGAATGGAAGGATTTAGACTCCTTGCAGGCAGCTGGTCATTTGCATCCTTTTTAAGAGTGTCGTTAAGGCCACTTGGAGGTTTATTTGCGTCCTCGGGGTCACCTGAGGGGTGCAAATGGGTGTGGAGCCTCCTTGGAACTGTTGAAAAGACACTGGAGATAGATGAGGTCGTATATCCCTCCCCCCACTCAATTGAGAGAGGGGCCAAGCGGCCTCAACGACCGTCTATAAAAGGATGCAAATGACCAGCTGCCTGCAAGGAGTATAAATCCATCCATCCTCCACCAGTCAGAGCCGAAGAAGCTTCTTGGATGAGAAGCGAAACGTCTTCAAAGAAAAACCAAAAAGTCCAGTTGCCTCTTGAAACAAAAACTTCCTTTGAGACAAACCAGGACTTGGAATGACGGAGAATCTCCACAGACATGTGTGTAAAGAGGTAAACGTTTGCCCTCTGGTGGTTGTGTGGGGACAGAACAGCAACAATTCGGCCCTCTGGTGGATCTTCTTACCCATTGCACCTGTAGAAAGAAAGTCAATCTTTTCCTCAAAGTCGTGTTGCTGGTCGCTCGTGGCTGGTTGTGAAAATAATATCGATGTCGGATAATAGTGGCTTCCTTTTCAGCAGCCATCTTTCCTGCGTAATCCTTCTTTTTAAATTAAAAATTAAAAGGGTGCATCTATCGACCTGATCTTTGTGTGGGAAGATCACACACCTAAAAGAAGTCTTTTGAAACACACAAATGGTTCTCGCTTATTAACCATCTACTTATCAATTATTTGAAGTTGTAACAGGCCAGCCAGAAGCTACTTAGTGTACAATGTTCCAGAGTTTCCACAGCTGCACACACACACACACAC